GTTTTATCAGTTCATTTAACATTATAAGTTCTTAGTAATTTTTATACATATTTAGGTTTATAAAATTTTGCTCAAAATATTTTTATTTTTATTTATTAACCAATACTGTTGTTAAAGAGGTTGCACATCTAAAATATAGTTTTTCTTTCATTTAATTTGCAACTTAATGCGAAGTCTGTTTCGGCACTCAAGAATTCTGTTCCATGGTCTTTTAATTTAAACAATATAAGGTTTCAATAATATGTAATTCTGTTTTAGCAACAGTATAAAAAATTACCTGTAGTCATTATATTATGAAAAATACTTCTTTTACGAAGATTGCGTACCCAAATTGGCAACACAGTGTTGCGGTTGAAGGCTGACGCGAAATAGCGCGCGCAAACGGGTTTTCATTGCCAACATAAATATTCAATATACCAGGCTGGTAATGAGGTCCAATTAACTATTTAATTTTGTTCTATTTGTTATGGTGTTACAAAAAAAGTTAGATACAAATAACTTAATCTCATTATTTGATGTGCAACCTTTTTTATGGATAAGAAAATGAATGGGAGTAGTGGAGATCGCTGATCTGATTGACATTATTGTAGGTTTATATTTGCTTAAATGGACTTGATATTTTCTCTCAATATTTATATTTGGCATTCAATCAATTATATTGTTACTCATATCTGTTCGTTTCATTGATACCACTTAAAACCCTCAGTGCTGAAAAGGAAAACTAGGCCCGGATATGCTCGTCTTTTCCAAGTTTATCCCAAGAGGCGACGAGAATAAGCTGATGTCCGACAGAGTGACCAGAACGGCACGGCTGACTAACCGGCGTATTCCTATGCCAATAAGCAGCATAAATTTTTAACGTCTCCTACTGCCCGGTAATAATAGTTTATAGCATAGAGTGAACAAAAGCCCCAATCTTGCAATATAGGCAACGAGAGAGATGGATAATAGATGGTTCCCTCTATCACTTTTTAGTCGAGCTATGTGGTTGGCTTAGGGAGTTTCTGATCTCCCGCCTGTTCTACGATCAAAACCATGCTCACTTCACGATAGAAAATCGCATATTAGCTAAACAGAGACAGAGGGAACTATCGGGCATCCATCTCTCTCGATGTCTGTATCGTTTCTATTTACAGGCAGCTGTACCCCCTGTTCTATCTATGCGTAAGTATATCTCTAAGGTTTATAGCGTTTCCATACGCTTACAGTCGATAAATGAAAGTACATCAAATGACTTTTCAAACAATTACTTTCAAAAACAAATACAAATAGATTTCATAAAGACATGTATTGAATGAACCACATATGTGGGTACGGAAACTTACAGAAAATAAACAATCAGCTAAAGTACAAATTTAAGATATATGACTCCTAAAAAGACACGAGACCGCGTGTCAGACGTCATAAAAGATGTGCAGTTACTTACCAAAAGGTCAATTCTCGTAATAAAAGTGCGGTCACAATTGAGTTCCGATCAACTTTCGATCTCACGACTGTCATAAAAGGTACTTTCGTAGTAAAATATTAAAGTATTATTAAGACTAGCAGATCACCGATTCAATTTTCGGTTACATCCATACTTAATATTATAAAGCTGAAGAGTTTGTTTGTTTGTTTGAACGCGCTAATCTCAGGAACTACTGGTCCCATTTGAAAAATTCTTTCAGTGTTAGATAGCTAGTTTATCGAGGAAGGCTATAGGCTATATATCATCATGCTAAGACCAATAGGAGCGGAGCACCAATGAAGAATGTTTCAAAAACGGAGAAAATTTATTACTATTGAGAGACGCAGACGAAGTTGCGCGGGTCAGCTAGTTATGATATAATCACATTACAGTTTCATACTTTACTACGAAAATATCTTTATGACAGTTGTGAGATCGAAAGTTGATCGAAACTGAATTAAGGCCGAACTTTTATTACGAGAATTGACCTTCAGGTCATTAAACAACCGGTATTACACACTGTTACGGTGTTTTATTAAAGCTTATTAATCCCTTAATATAATTTAATGTTTGCTGCTGATGAAAGTCCTTTATAAAGGCAGACGCGTATTACATGCCGACATATAATATATGTATAAATTCGTTTGATGAAAAACAAATTACAACCTTTCATTTTATATTAAAAGAGGGTAAACAAAACGCCTTAGTCTTTTTGTCAGGGCATAAATAATACTCGATAGCCTGATTGCGGCTATCGTGCGGAGCGAGAGTGCGTGAAACTCTGCCGTCTCCTTCTGCGAGCAAGTTATGCTCGCGAAGGAGACGGCGGAGCGGGACCGGGAGAGGTTTAGGACTCTCCCGGCCCGCCAGGCCCGGGAACGGGCCAGGTACCGCAGGCGACTCAGGCGCCGAAGGTCGCAGAACGACCTCCGTCCTCCATAAGCGCAGGCCTGGGGGTGACAGGTGAGGCCATCTGTCACCCTAGCAGAAGCAGGCCGGGGTGGCGGCGAGCGCGTTGCGAAGCGCGCTCGCTTCCAGGGAGCAGAGGGAACATGGGGTTCCCACACGGGGGGGGGGTCGTCTACCTGTTGTTGTAGATGGCCCGAGGTATGTCGGGGCACCAGGGACTTCCTTTCTAGGGTATACCTGGTTCCCCGGCTATTAGTACCCGAGACGGCGTGCGGTTTTAGTCGGTTCGAGTCCGAAGAATCTTTATCTTTATCTTTATCCGAGAATTTTTATGACATTACAAGTATATTAACAGTTTATTTGTTTTAAATACAATGACTGAAATAAATAATGTGTGAAAATAAACTAATGCAAGGTACAATACTAAGGTGAGTCAGTATAAGATTCGATGAATAAAACATCCACAAAGGAGCATCAAATCAGGCACGACCTTTAGTAATAGAAGAACGCGACTAATAAGAAGAAATAGAACATTACATTTCTGTCACCTTATAATACATATCATCATCTCAGCCGAAAGACGTCCATTGCTGGACATATGCTTCCCCAAGGCTCTTCACAATAACCGGTTCTGTGCTGCCCGCATTCACCCTGTATACATACTTCCGGTACCTGGTCGCCAGTCGAAAACTTTATGGCCCCATCGGCCGTCATCTGCGAGTAATGTGCCCCGCCCACTGCCACTTAAGTTTGGCAATTCTTCGGGCAATGTCAGTGACCTTGGTTCGTCAGCGGATCTCCTCATTTTTGATTCGATCACGCAGAGAAACTCCAAGCATTGCCCTCTCTATTTCTGTTTGGGTGACTTTAAGCCCCCTTATAAGGCCCATTGTGGGCGTCCGCGTCTCTGTGCAAGATCTGTTTCTCTCTTATAGTAAATGCAATGTTTTTTTATAAGTCTGACTATTTTAATGGTTTAGATTCGATACCTTCAATTCGGGGGACAAGTTGCCGCCATTTGAGTGCCTCCTTTGGGGTCGAGCCTTAGTAACTTCACACTCACACTGGTGTTCATCGTGCCAAAGCAGGAGACTATACCTACTTTTTGTCAAAAGTTTGTCTTTCAGTGCGTTTGGAAAAGTTCAGAGTATTTTTAGCTCGTGACGAAGTCATGCCCGCCGATGTAACACGTCATTCATGAATGCAACGTGCTGTAAACATATTCAGTAAATTGGGTCACAAAACTCAAAACAAAAAGTAACGTGTTATATATCTACTAGTAGTTCCCCGCAGTTTCACCTGTGTTTTAGTTTAGCTCTGCTCTTCATTCGAATTAGATTTCAAGCACAACGTATTAGAAGAATAATTTTCTGTGAATTTTTGAAATATTGAGCTATTCGGGCAAGAGACAAATCTATAAATCAAACATCATAAAAATCGGTCCAGTCTATCTTTAGTGATAAATGGTGTGTCTTCGTTTTATTTATTGAAATATAATATCTTTTATATAAAATTCTCGTGTCAGAATGTGTTACCATACTCCTCCGAAACGGCTTGACCGATTTTTATCAAATTTTATATGCATATTCAGTAGGTCTGAGAATCGGCTACTATCAATTTTTTATACCCCTAAGTGATAAGGGTTGTCCACCCCTAACATTTTTGTTTTTCTGAGTTTTTTTTTTATATAATTTGGCATTAAAAAATACATACAAGCCTACATTTTCACCCTTCTATCACCAACCCCTATTTTTTAATAGTCATTAATTCTCATTTTTAAGAAATTTTGTGTGCATATCGGGTAGGTCTGAGAATAAGCCAACATCTATTTTTTATACCCCTAAATAATAAATGTGACCCACCCCTAAATATTTTTTTTGGCAAAACAACGTTTGCCGGGTCCGGCAAGGTCTGGTGAGTACCAAGCAACTAGCTTTGGTCAATCGGTCGTCCCCACTGCTCCTTCACGATAACGCGCGACCCCATACTGCGCAACAGTCAATCTCCAAGCTGCAAGAGCTGGGGTTGGAAGCTCTCCCTCATCCGCCATACTCACCAGACCTTGCACCTACCGACTATTACTTTTTCCAAAATTTAGACAACTTTTTAGTGGGTAAAAAATTCAATTCCCGAGAGGCAGTACAAAATGCCTTTGAAGAGTTTGTTGCCTCCCGTTCAGCTGATTTTTACAAGAAGGGCATCAATAAACTGCCAATGCGTTGGCAAAGATGCGTCGATTGCATGGGTGATTACTTCGACTAACAGAAATAAAAAAGTTTGAAAAAATAAGTACTTTCACTTATTGCTTACAAAACGGCAATTTCATAGGTAAAGACCTATTATTAAAATTAAAACGGTAGATAAAACTACTAAGTATTTTATATATGTATGTATTTGGCACATATGTATGTGGTGGATGACGGAAGATGTATTTGGTGGATGAAGAAAGATGAGTGTGGAGGAGGAAGATGGTGTATATTGAATACTGAATTTTGCAAAATTAACACTTTTGTACATTGCTTGCTTTTCACTAAAATATTTAGTCTTCTAATATTCTGTTTTTTTTTTTTAATATTTTCTGATTCTACACTTTGAGGACCCGAAGAAGAGAACCTAAAAAAGGTATTTTAAATAAAACGTAAGACTACCGTACAATAGCTTTAATTCTCTCTAAAGATTGACTCTTCCCTAACAAGTCCATCATTTCAGCGACTCCAGGTCCTTCGTCCAGTCCACTGAGCGTAGATCTCAGCATCTTCATTAGCACTGGGAAATTAACCCCATTAGCTTTTGAAAAGCTTTTCAAATTATGTTTCAAAGAATTCTGATCAAACTTTTCCAGATCTTCCAAATTTTGTACAAGCTTTTTGAGAAGAGGTTGGTCCACGTCAATTTTGGTCGTAGGTAAAATCCATAGGAAGCCGAATTTGTTTGATACTAACTCATCTATTCTAGTTATCCGTGAGACAGCCCAGTTTAAAACACTCTGTACATGTTCATCTGATAAATTCAACTTGTGTTCGGGGTAAGTTTTTGTGATCAAGTTTTTAAGATCAGCTACAAGATCATCTGACAGGGCGCTATCTTTAAGTCTTCGTTTAATTTCTAACCTGTTGCATTCTGCTAATAAGTCAGGGTTGAGGCGGCTTGGGTGTGATGAAATCTTATTTATCTGAAACTATAAACGACGACAAACCTTCAATAAATGTAATAAAAAACATCTTTGCCGTTAAGTAAATCGTTACATAAAACAAAATCAACATGAGCGATGAAAAATGATCGAACTAGTTTGCACGATGAAATGATGGAAGCAAAAAAATTATCAAATAAGTCAAACCTCTTCTGCTAACTCTTCCATTGTTTTAAGTCTCACTCCGGACCCTGGAACGTGATCAAATCCACCACCAGATAATGTAATATAATTCACTAGCGCCAATGGGTATACGCCTGGAAATAATATCTTCTGTTATGGAATTATCAGCATATGTCTATTACATTATTACATCAAAGTGTAAACAAATAATGATATCAAAGACGTTCTCATACGTTGGTAGGTGAATTGGTTGAAGTGAAAGGTGAAGTGGTTGGTAGGTGAAGGTAGGTGAACTGGAAAGCGGAGAACTGAGTAGGGTATTGTATGATTGGTAGGAAGTAGTACTAAATCTGACATCACAAAATACAGACTCATTTGACTTTGAACTAAAAAATGGTGTCGTAGGAATCGCGCAAAATTCGCCAGGAGTCAGTAATTCAGTCAACCAGACACCTAAATTGTGCACAAATACTTACTGTACATTAATACATAGTATTGACAAGTAAATGAAAAATGCATAGATACTCACCATTGTTCCTATAATCCTCCACTTTCACATCGCTTTGCCGTTTACTTAATTTCGTACCATCAGCGTTTACGATCAGCGGCATGTGTCCAAACTTCGGTGGAATCCAGCCGAATGCTCTACAATAAATATGCTCGACAATTCATGTTAGGATACGATTAAGTTATAACTTAGGGTACGATAATGGAAGAGGCTCCTCATCTGTGCCTAATAGCCTGTAATTTAGTCTAAAAAGGAGATAATGTTAAGATAGATGATGTAGGTATCAAATACCTTTTCTGGAACACGTTAACTCGACATTTGTAAGTCGAAAGTCTCTCCTTAGTCTGGGACCACAATATAAAGATTATAATTCGTTGGCATATTAATCTGAACGAGTACCAGTGTGACCTAACAAAATATTTTATGCAATCTGCAAAAAAGCTATCTCATGATTATGATAATTATATTTTGATACATCTGGTTTTACTTTTTTTAAGGATTTTGATGAACCTCATGTTTATCATGCACAGGGTTCATTATTGTCTGCCTAACCTTTATGTAATTTTATTTGGTTACGGCGCTTATAACTTCTGCTTCCATTTTAATCTTATTTTTCACCATTTTATTTCTTACTGTCTTTTAAACCACATTCTCTTTCACGCAGTCCATCTGTTTTCTTTGATTGACTTCTATTCTAGTACTCGTACCATACATAAAACTCCCTTCACCATAGTATGTTCATTCCTTATGGTCACTCCATTCTATCACTTGTCCATAAGACGATAATCCGTTCTCTTTAACTTTTAATTCCCTGACGCTATTTTCACGCTCTCTCAAATATATTCATTCTTCACTCTATCCTTGCCCATCCTAGTGACACCACTCATCGATCTCAACACACAAACTTTAGGTACGAGCAAGCATCTTTCGTCCGTTCACTTTGTGAGTCTGGTTTCGGATTATACAGATATGATACAAAACAGTTGATGTAATTAAACCAGACATATGAGGCTAGCCAGTATTCAATCTTCAAGAAAAGAGCGTTGGGAGTGCGCTCTTTTCTTTTTACCCGTACCCCAAAGGCGGCTTTTGAGTTACAGTTGCGTTTATGTAGTTCCATCAGGTGACTTCTGCTCGTTTTGCCCCATATCATGCTAAGCAACTCTTTGCAAATTGTCTTGCTAAAAAAAAAGGTAAATGGAAATCCAATAAACTTATTAATAAATAGACAAGTTAATAAAGTTTACGTAATTACACAAACCTGTATATCAATAAATGCTTAGTCGTCGATATCTGCCATTCAACCCCCCTCAACACATGTGTTATTTTCATCAGATGATCATCAACTACATTGGCGAAGTGGTATGTTGGGAACCCATCCGTCTTCATTAGAACTGGGTCACCTTCATTCAGCGATACATCGTACGCTATGTTGCCAAAGATCAAGTCTTCAAAAGTTTGGCAATCTGATGTAAGCTGAGGGTTATCACGTATTTTTTTAGGTTAGGTCACATATTTAAGTAAAATACACATCCAAAAAAGTCCAAACAACACGCATTATTTACATAAACTGCAGGCGTATAACTTTTATTGTTCTCGGAATCACAAACCGGCTGATTTTAATAATATAAACTTTTCGATTGTGTTTTGTTGTCATTGAAATCATCATCATCATCAACAACAGCCTTTAATAGTCCACTGCTGAACATAGGCCTCTCCTTAGAAAGGAGGTTTAAAATAAAAGTTAATTATTTTGCCCGATTGCATTTGTTTTCGTTGCTTGATAAATTTAGTATTTATTTCACTTTTGTATAATAATTTAGAGATATACAGTTTTTGATTAGCGAGTAATTTTTGAAGTGAAAACTTCTTTAGCGGCGTTGTACACTTTTTTTGTAATAGGTAAAAAATGTTAAACTCGAGTCAGGACACGTGACCTGATCGAAAATTCGTAAGACGGTGGAGAGTAGACAGCCGGCGCGGCGTAGGAGAGTATCCCCCCCCTCTTTCTACGGCGCGGCGAAAATGTATGCCTGCGCCTGCTGTTTCGTTTAGGCGGGCGGGCGGGCGGTGGCAGGGCGCTTGCGCGAATGTTCGTGTGTGTTTATGTTACAGCGCGCCACGCGCATCCATGGATGGTGACAGCATCTCGATAAATTGTCATGTTTGTGTACGATAGCGCGATAAATAAAAATTGTATGCTACCACATAAATGATAGTACTTTTATACTGATAACTAAAGCAATTAGTGCAAAGTTATTCCCTAACCATTCCAAAATATCAAAAATGCACAACGTTAATATTCTAGTTTTCACTTCTGCCGGCACTCCCGGAGTCTCTTTTTTTATGTCATGGAACGTCGCCATTTCACTTCTGGTGAAATGCAGAGAGCTATAGGAATGCTACAAGCGGGAAGAAATCAGTAACAGGTATTTCGGCATTTTGGTGTCAATAGGAGCGTGAATTGTCGCCTTTGGCTGCGTTATGTTGATACAGGTGACAGGAGCCATGGATTAAAATTTTATTTTGCGATGAGTTCCGGTTTGGATTGAGGCCTGATACGAGATGGGTAAGAGTGTATAGTCGTTCCGGAAATGCTGAACAGCCAAGATGCGCCCAGAAGGTGCACCCTAACAGTAGCTTCACAGTGATGGTATAGGCGGGTATTATAAAGAACAGACGAACTGAGCTCGTGTTTGTAGATGGCAATATAAACGGTAAAGCTCACGTTGAAGCTGTCCTTGGATCTTATGTTCATCCATTTGCATGACAATGTACGTTTGCACACAACTCGGAGGAACAGAGAGTAGTTGGCAATAGAAAATAAATTCAATGAAAAATCTTTGCTGATACGTTTTAAACAACAGTCACACACTTAGGTCACACGTTGTATTAAATTTCCAAATAATTAAATATAATGTCGTTTTTAATTTTGTAAAACATGAAAAGTTTAATTTTGTTCCAACTTTTTTTATACTACATATACGGTACATATATTGTTAATTATTTGAGGATTTTATTACTTTAGTCACTAATGCATCAAAGACCGCTTAGTAATAATTTATAAAAGAAATATAAATGTAATATAATAGTAGTAGTATACATATAATATATATATATAATAGTAGTACAATAGTAAAAATCGTTCAAAAGTTCAAAACCGCGCATGTTGCTTAGACTTTTTTGATGTGTGTATTATAACTGGAAATAGAACTAATACGACGACGGGCCCGTTGATCTAGTGGTAAGTGACCCTGACTGCTAAGCCGGAGGTTGTGGGTTCGATACCCACCCAAGACAAATATTGTGTGATGAGCACGGACATTTGTTCCGTGTCAGGGTGTAATTTAACTAGAATATGTATTTAAATATATATAAGTATGTTTATCAGCAGTCTGGTTACCATAGCACAGGCTCTGCCTAGTTTGGGATCAGTCGGCCGTTTGTAAGACGTGTAAAAAAAAACTTGGCGTGCTTGTAGGCATCCTATTAGTGAGAAGAAAAACAGAGGCAACTGTTGATTACTTGTTCGGTAGCATTTCATCAAATTAAACCAAAAATATTAAATTATTTAAAGAGAAAAAAGAATTAAGACCTTTAACAAATACAGTGCCAATACAAACTGAGAGGATCTCAACAATTCGTGCTATATCTCACCAAAAGAGACTGAATTAAAAGCCTACATAATTAAATACTTTTGATGATATACTTATACCCTGGCTTTGAAATTGTAGAATAGAAATTGAAACACTTAACATAATAATACTGATAAATTACCTTAAACCTGATACAATAGGGAGCGCCGGATTCCATTTTCTCCTTGAGCTCTTCATGGGATAAATTTCTGCAACGGTTATCATACTTCGGTGTTCGTTGAGATCGTATAGCATCTCTACGGATAATATTCAGTCTTCTCTCGGTACAGAAACATCTGTATGCTGTACCATTATCTAGGAGGGTAGATATGTGTTCCCTAGGAGAGTATTATCATTTTAACACTCCATAATAAATTAAGCCATAATATTGCTTGAACAACTTTAATATGGGTGTATAGGCCCAAAAATAAAAATAAATATAAATCATGATTATATTTAAATTGAAATAATTTAGATTATCTTCATATTGAGAAGTTGCCACTAATCATGACTTTTGTTTTGTTAAAACTAAAACATATTCTTGTAATTCAACTAAATAGTCCTTATTATAATAAACCAACGAGATCCATCACTTGGTTAACTGATAAGCAAGCTGATAATTGTGGGACAGTATCAGAATATTATTCTAACTATGTATATAATCATATGTCCAATAATTTATGGAGCACTCTGTTTATCGCTTAGTATTGTCAACAAACTCATTTGGCTGATGTGTGATGATGTCAAAAACTTTCCTAGCAAATGCAATAACAGTAAAATTGTAAGGTATAACTGGAAAATATTATCATTTTTGTAGTTAGTTATACCTCCGAATATGTGAGAGTGATTTGTTATAAATAGTATAAACTTTTATAGAGTTAAATATTTTTCTTTACTTTACTTTCTTTAGCTACCCTGTTATATGTATAGCATTCAGGGTTTGACAGTTTACACTATAGAAATAATGTAAGTTAGCTCCTAAAAAAATTTAAATTTCTTAGTCTTAATCTTCTTAATATTAATATTCTTAGCAGAACTTACAATACTACTAAATACATAAAGTATACTTGGTGCTTAAGAACAATGTACTCACTGTGAATGTATTAATTTGTGTCAAATGTACATTTTTATTTGACACAAATTTACCGTGTTGTGAAGGACTTAGAATAAAGAGTGTCACTTCCCCTATTCATCCCATGGGTGTCGTAAAAGCCGACTAAGGGAGCAAACTACGCAGGACAACAGCACTGGAAAGAGAAGGAAAACTGCAAACCTAGTTGGGTTTGTAACTAGTCTGGCCAGCGTGGTATAGTAGGCCATAACCTCCTCTCTAAAGAGAGGCCTATGTCCAGCAGTGGACTATTAAAAGCAGTTGATGATGAAACATTTTTGGCTACATATCAAAATAGTAGTAAATACTTTACCTACATAAATGACTTTTTGGCATCTTCTCAATATGACTTCACTAAATGAAAAACAACAAGATTTTAACATTATTTTACTTACTTATAAAAGTCCAATCTTTCACTTTGAACATAAGGTTCACAATCACCATGGAAACCAGGTCCTTCATCGCACTCAATGCCCGCCCATTCCAAGTCCCTTTTAAGACCTTCCACAGACCCTTCAACTTTTCGAGTCTGGTCTGTATCTTCTATACGCAATATGAACGAACCTCCCCTCGATTTAGCAAATAAATAATTGTACAAAGCAGTCCGTAGACCACCTAGATGTAGATATCCTGTTGGGCTTGGGGCAAATCGTACTCTAGGACTTTCAGTACTCAGTGACCTTACTAAATAACGATTTGCACAATAAAATAACACCTTGGGTATTCCAGAATGCATTTTAATTACATAAATATGTTACTCATTAGTCTTTTTCTTTATTATTTACAGTAAATTGCGTTAGACTTAGGTTATACGTTACAATCATCTGTTTATGACAATTGACAACTTCGTTGTGAAATAATTGTCTCAGAACTGAAAAAACCTTCACTTAGATCAAAGTTTTTTCATGATTTTATTTTGTTGTGGGATTTTTCCCTAGATACTTTTTTTTACATACTCTTTATTTTTTCATGTCTACGGCTAATATATCACTGTTATTTGGAGTCCTTTACGAAATTCAGATCGGTAAAACATACACATATTCTAATCAATTACAAATCAAATACTATACAAGTGTAAATGAAACACCTGTCTACACAAAAAATAATGACTTAAGTTACAAATCAAAAACTAAAGGGTTTAAACTCTCTGTCGATTAGCAACACCCAGTTTGATTAACAAGTTGCGACCCTGACCTTCTTGAGCCTATTTCTTATAGTCTCCAATCCAATGCTATAAAATAATATTATTTCCAATGATTCCAATCCTGATTTTTAATTTAATGGAGAAAGGTTTTATCTTCCATATTATGCAACAACTAGATGCACTAAACAAAATATTAATCGCTTCGGGGAGTATACTCTCGGTCGTTGGTTTGCCGATGAAATTGTGTTAAATTTGGAACTACCAGAGTGGTTGGAATGAAATGTACAAATGGAAGCTGTGGATGTCCTAGTCAAACTGATCTATCACTTAGAAGTTACCTGGGATATACTGGATGCTAAAGATGGCCTGCGCCTGGGTCAGGGTGTTATGGCCCATAGCTACACCTATTTAATTTCATCTTTAAGTAGCATGTAATATGGAACGTATGATTTTTTTTACGACCTTTACACTAAAGGAAATTATATATTTAGAATATTTCAACCAATATAGGAAAGGATTGGTTTTCTTTGTTCATCAGCACATTGTTGAAATCATTATACTTTGTTTTTAAATGACTATAATGTTCTTTAAAGGACTTCAGTTGAATAAAGATAGTTTTCATTGCTTTTTTGACACTGTACAAAAAGAGATAAATGTTATTAATATAAAGGCCAAATAAAACTATTTAAGCATTTTTAATAATTTGACGTGTAATGCAAACCATGTGTTCTATTTAAAGAAAATATTCCTCCTAAAATTCTGATCTCTTTATGCGACACAACGTCGCCTAAAATCTTAACAAAATAATCATGTAATGTAACAGCATCACTATTATCGGCGTAATTCACTTCTTCTAAGACAAGAATAAAGTTATGTTTCCGTCTACAATTAGAAAGTTGTCTATGGTTGTTATTTCACTTTGGTTCCGATGTCGAAATAACAGTGAAAGTCATTAGAAACAAATAAAATTTCACGAAAATGGTGAGTAATCGTATTAAATATATACGCAACCATAAAAAAAATGTTAGCTTAGTCGAAAAATAATAGAAGTGAATTGTTTTCTCATTCGTAAATTCAATGACAGGTATCTAGTAACCAGGTTATAAATATGACGTTCCTATGACTCTCTTACAGAATAAGTTAAAATCGTCACAGAGAGACAAAGTAAAAAAGTTCGTCGCATTTACTCAGACGAGCGAGAGCACGGCGATATACTGTTTGTCTCAGAACGATTGGAAACTGGACCTCGCAAGCGACAACTATTTTCAGAATCCTGAAGCGTACTATAAGGACTCTATAAAGGCGACTATCGATAGGAAAAAGATAGAACAGCTATTCACTAAGTATAGAGACCAACAAGAGAGTAACAAGATCACAGTAGATGGTGTGATGAAGTTTTTAGAAGACCTTAATCTAAGTCCAGAATCAATTCTAGTTCTTATTATAGCATGGAAGTGTAAAGCAGCAGTGCAATGCGAGTTTACTAGAGAGGAGTTCACAACAGGATTCATAGAACTCGGGGCTGATAGTATAGAGAAATTAAAAGCTAAATTACCAACATTTGAGGCAGAGATAAAGGACCAGAATAAGTTTAAAGACTTCTATCATTTTACATTCAATTATGCAAAGAATCCAGGCCAGAAAGGACTCGAACTGGACATGGCCATAGCTTATTGGAATATTGTGCTCCGTGGCAGATTTAAATTCCTAGATGCTTGGTGTAAATTTCTTATGGTATGTATTTACTTCTTATACCATAGATATTGCTATTTAATTATAAAGTGCTTAAGTTTTGATTACTGATATTTTTAAGTTAAAGTTTGTAATTGTACCCTATCCCCTTAAAGTCAAAAGACTCTTGTTACTGTTTACTTGACTGCGTCCGTGGTGCAGTGTTGGCGTGTGCGACTGTTGTGCTGAGGTCTCAGGTTCGATTCTTGTGTTAGACCAAATGTTTGGATGATTTGCAAATTTTGGTTTCAGAGTTTGGGTGTTTTCTATGTATAATATGTATGCATTTATGAAAAAAAAGCAAAAAGATCTGTCAATCTAGCTTTCATAGTACAAGCTCTGCTTAGTTTGAAACTAGATGGCGTTGTGTCAGATGTCCTAAAATATAAAAAAATATAAGCTATAGGTATTTTCATATTAGTAGCCTCTACTGGTACTTTTGTACATAATATAATTACTGCATCATTTTTTTGACTGAATCTTTGAATGCCCTGCAATTAGTGTTTTTTTGTAAGTGTTTGGGATATTGTTTTGTAATAGATTGTGTACATGTAATGACAGTATCACCTCATGAAATCATACAATTTTAAGCTAGAAAAGTTAAAATTTAAAACATAACTTCAAAATTCTTAATAGATTTTAGATTGCTAATAATGATCAAGATTTCAGTTTAGAAAAGTAGGATATAGCAATGAATTTAAAAAAAAGACTGACATAGTTTTTTTGTTATGGAAGAAGAGGCAAATGAGCACATTCAGCTATAAAATAATGTAATCAAAAATAAATTAATTAAAATTCTTCAATAATTAATTTTGTAAAACTTTGAATAAATGACTGACAAGATGTAAAAAGTAAAATTTATCACGTAGCAGTAAAGTTATGTACTCAGTGTGTTCCTACCCTTTGCTTTGTCCACCGTTAATGGTGCAGCTCCACCGTAGAGATACCATGGCCTCACAGAGAACTGGCAATTCTTTTGCTGCTTTTCCCTCGGTAAGGTCCCTCAGTAAGGTAACTAAAGTATTCAAAGGGTGACTGGAAATTATTGCTACTTCTTAATCATATTCATTTGATGAAATTATTGGTTTCAGTCACAGTAATTTCACATTTACTACACACGAATAATAGTTGATTAAGTTAATCACATAATATTTAATGATTATGTCAATTTTAATTCTAGGAGCATCACAAGAGATCCATACCCAAAGACACTTGGAACTTGCTGTTAGACTTTGCAACGCAGATCGACGACGGCATGAGCAACTACGACGCAGAGGGCGCGTGGCCCGTGCTCATCGACGACTTCGTGGAGTGGTGCCAGAAGCAAGGGCTGACGGCCGACGCGGCGAAGGCACTAGAGCCGGCGTCAGGCTAGCCGCGCCCGCAGCAGCGTCCGCCGCGCGCCGCGCGCCTGGCGCTGTTCGCCCGCTGCGCGCTCTACGGCCTCGGGCTGTGTACAGTCGAGTGGCTCGCTATCCTCGTCCTACTGGAGTTGTGTAGCTGACTAAATTGTGACATCTGGAGTGATGTGCCCAAAGACTCCGGTGGGAATTTCTTTTGGCACGCAGCACCTCTAGTCTACAGTGTTTCTCGAGCGATAGTGGCGTATAGAGCCTTTACATTCGATAGGGTCACTATCACTCAACTGTAAATAGCTCTCGACTATTCGTCCGTTAGGTAAAATTTGTTGTTGATCCGTTTACTATTACCCCATAGGGTATAAAACGATAGGGTGATCTTTTCCAATTTTAAAGATATTTATACTAAGAGTTATTCTAAATATTGTCTCTTTGAACTTTACATCTCCTATGTTATAGAATAGAATGCCGTTTAAAATTTAAGATGTAAATATGTATATACACATTAATGATATTACTCTTTTTTTAATAATGACAAGCTTAGATTTTTCAGTTATGGTTTTTTTAGCTACGATACAGCTTTGCCAGGGCTGATGTGTTGAAATCGGCGTAAACAGATTAACCAATTGGATTCTTTCAACATTATTTATTGTTAGAATTGTCACATACTAGTGCAAAAGATTTCTATGTTTTCAGAAAAGGTGCAATTATGACATTAATAAATGTACAATATTGTTTATGGTGTCTATTCTTACTGTAGAATGTTAATAATCACAGGTAACAATTAATTTTTTTAATAAGTTTAACCATCAATGAATACATAGTTTTAAACTTTTTTGAACATTATCTGTCACTTAGAAAATTGCACTTATGGAATTTTTTCACAATATTACAAACAATAATTTAATTTCAAACATATGAAGGCACTGGTAATTGTACATATAACAGTTTCACGTGGACTATAGACAAAGGACACTTTATCTTTAGCGATACAAGCTAATAAAAGAGTTAAGCTGTAGACCTTTGATCTAAAAATATCTAGACTAGTGTTCAACTTTAAAAATTGTTCAGTAAATACTCAATACTAGACAAAAAATCAAAAATTAAAAAAACAATATTATTGTATCTATAAGATGTGCACATTAATTAACTTGTTATCTAATCTTTATTGCTTGGCAAAAGTCCCCTGTAACTCGGAACCATAGACAAGTTTTATTTTTATTAGTGTTGGTATTTAAGTACCATAAACCATGTGATACAGTTTTAGAATGGGTCATTCATTATTCATATTGTATACATTTAATTCAGTATTTATTTTTTAGTAACTTCGTTCGCTGCCTTAGTGGTGCAAGATGCCTGATCAACTGCAATCACATAGCATACGCAACTGCAGTCTATGAGGCATCAGGGTTGATACCCGGACCAGGCAAAATTTTAAAGGGTTTTTCTGAGAAGTAAAATAGCCTTAGTTACTCCTTATAAAGATAGCTGCCTGGTAGTAAAATTTTTCAAAATAGTTTCAGCCGTTTTGAATATTACCCGCAACAGAAAATATTTTAACTGGTTTTTAGGCATAGGTATCGTGCAAATAACCGTGTGAGCACGAAAAACCTAATATTTTGGACATTACAGACACTTCAATTTTATTCATTCGTATAGTTAATCCGTCTTTAGTTGTTGACAGACAATTGAATTTTTCATTTTCTCTAATTCTTTATTTCTTTACACTTAAACTTTCTTATGACTGATCCACCTTAATATGTATAATATTTGGCAATTAAATCTCATCTTAAATATATAATTCTTCTGTGAGTGTGTATGTCACTGAACTTCTCTCAAACGACTGGACCGATTTTGATGAAATGTTTTGTGTGTGTTCAAGGGGATCTGGGAATGGTTTAGATTCACAATTTTGAATGGTAAGGGTGACCCATCCCTAATTTTTTTTTTTTGTTGCAATACAACGTTTGCCGGATCAGCTAGTAATAATATAAATTTAAAACTCAAGACACTAAATTTTCAAAGGATTTTCTTTCGTGAGCCTCCATTTTGTATTTCATGATGTTTAATGAGTTAAATTCTTGAACAATCGGTTCTCTATATCGTGTATGTGCTTAAGTTCACAATACACAATATATTATATGTGTTAAGTAGTTCCCTTGTGTTGAATAAACAGGAGAATCATATAGATAATGTTGTTGTTTCGTTTCATTTCGTCTAAATGAAATGTATCATTTATTTTGTAATTTATATCCGACAAATACGTCAAAAACAAAAAATAATGCTCATTGATAATATAATAATCTTATATGTTACCCAATACCATTTTTTTTATGACTCAACATAAGCTTGAAGATAAATAATATAGTTTTTAAGACATCTGATACACAACGCCATCTAGTTTCAAACTAAGTAGAGCTTGTACTATAAAAACTAAATTGGCTGATAGAATGCTTATATACTTCTTTTTTGTAAATACATACACATTATACATAGAAAATACCCAAACTCCGAAACAAGTATTTGCAGATCATACAAACATTAGTTCCGACCCGGTAATCGAACCCGAGACCTCAGCACTGCAGTCGCATACGCTACCACTGCACCAACGAGGCAGTGAATTGCTTTTCTTAAATAAGAGTTATGATGTAATAACTACATTACTTGAGTGAGCTAGTTATTTAAATAAGTCAGTACGTATACATTCATAGTTGATTGACCCATTATTTAATCCAGTGGTTTATGGTCCATTTGAAATAATGATTAAATACAATATCGCTAACAGAGCAGAGGTTGACGGAGAAGACAAGAAGAAGGCTTGAACCTAATATAATTTGTTCCGAACAGACGTCACTGTACTGGCCCGCCATCTAGTGGTTAAATATTGTGGAGGATTTAAAGTCGGACGCTAGAAGTATTTCTCATAATGTGTAGCTATCATATTAGGCGTAATTATTAACTCGAAGACTAACTTGTATTCTGTTGATTTTTTGCTTTATATATGTACAAGTCAATGTGTGTAGAGATTTAATTATATTACAACACTATAAGCGTGATCTGTGATTAATGAATTTATTGTTGTTCAACATTACAATAACAGCACAGTAAGTTAACAAATAATTCTAAAATAATTAATAATCTATACTTACTGTGTTCTTAATAAATAATATAAAGGAATAGCTTATTGGGTCACGCACAGGTTGCCACACTAATAAAAAAAATGATATATATAATTATGTTTTCAATTTTCATAGTTGTTTCACGTCACTAGAAAAGTGCTGTTGCTTCTAGCGTAACATTAAAATCGTAATTAGTATTTGGTACTTAGCTTTTAATGTACAAAGGATGAAATTGATGTATTGAGTATTACATTAAATTGTTAAATAAATAATTCGTTTTTTATTATTTTAAAACAACATAAATCGTATTTGCTCTATCGTATCTACATTGCACCCGTGCGAAGCTATTAATGTGGTGTCAGTGTGGAGTAATTAATTATACATTATACAACAGGACATCTTTATATGCAATACTTATAGGCCCGCCCTGCCAGCTTCTGCCACCCGGGACGGACGTACGGCCCGACCGCCACGTCGACGGCAACTCTGACCCCGCATTTTAAATCACTGAAATCTACTAAGATATTCAATTTAATGATATGCTGTGAAAGGCAATTTTGATCTAAATTAAATGCGCAAGATATCATAAGTACTTAAATGGATAAGGTATAATACTGTAGTGTTCAAAATAGCTTCGTAAATTACCCATCATTTTTTGTAATATGTAAAAGATTAAAATGTACTGTGAGTTATCCTTAGTACCTAGTTAGACATATATCATCACGGACTTTTTATACATCTTTTTTAGGATATACAATAGGGTAGATTCCTATGTTTAAAATAAATTAGTCCGCCTAGTACATTATTTTGATCTATCTTGTAAGGTTTAGTAAACCAAACGAAACAGCAGTTTAATGAAAGTTTGTATTCGATTGGATTCGATCGACAGCAAGGATTTTTGAAAAAAAAATCGTCCTTTAAACCGCATGAAAATTCGAGCTGGGACCGAAAGAACGTGGATTACGAAAAGACAAAAAATCTGAATTACAAAACGCAACAGTAATTGGTTGCTATGACTGTTGCTACAAAAAAGTATCAATAGTTCGGGTTCTTTTTACAACCGAACTAATCCAACTGAAGAGTTGTAGTAGTTCGATCAGCCGGACTACTGCTACTAGAGGATATTTATAATATCAGTGTATCGAGTATGTATAACGTTTGCAACTGATAACAATTAAAAATAATTAATCGCATCTGTTCCAATTATACACCTGCCACACTCAGCTCTGCATCACGCAAAGGTTGACTAGAGAAAATGCATTAATTCCGCTTTAAGGAATGTATTTGCAGGAAGTATAAAATAAATAAATAAAGATCATATTTCAATTTTTTTAAGTTTCGAATGCTTAAAATAAATGTCATTTGTACTGTGCATCGGTTACTTTCAAACAGCCAGCTTAGGTGATCTTTCACTTTAGGTGTGCCTTACTTTGATGAACAGTGCTAAAAATGGGGCGTTCCATTCTTACAAACCCAAAAGTCACGCTTCGCTCTACTAAAGTACTCAAATGTAAAAATGATATATGTCTGAGTATGTTTAAACAGTCTATCAGCTTGGTCAATTCGTTGCGATAGTATGAGCTGGTTTTCTTATAACATAGACAGTATGGTATATTTTTTAATTTTCTATTCAAATTCAGTTTTGTTTTACATCGCGTGATTTTACCATGATACCCAAATATAGATGATCTTGTCATTACAATGTTTAACTTTCACCATCCATATCAATTTAATCTGTCTATATTTTATCAATTAAATATTGAAGTATTTTATAAAATTCTGAATTTAATTGATGAATTTAGATCTAAAATAGTAGGGAGTTTTATAATTACAAAAAATAAGTAAACAAACTGATTAATTTAAATTCAACTTCAAGTTTTTTTTAATGGATTTGTGGTTACACTCTACCACAAAGCTTTCATTACATTACAATGTACTCTGTGCACAAAGCCATTAACCAATTTGGGACACTTGCTAATCTTGGCAATACTGTACTGCTGTCAATCATCAAATTTGACATTATATTCATAGCAAGAAAAAATATTGCTGTTCGTTTTTCTCAATCTTCACAAATAAGAGAAATGTCTCTTAAGTTCAGCGCCGCCCTTAAAGAGTTGAGGATTCACCTCTGCCAGACTGGCAAGCAATCGCAGGGCGTTAGGTAAAGATACTGGATTATATAAACAGGAAAATAACCTAAAACTTTATTTAAGAAAAAAAACACTGTTTTTCAGAGATTTTATAAAAAACAATTATGTGGCACTCAAGAAAGAAAATCCTAACATCCCAATATTGATCCGTGAATGTAGCGGAGTTCAACCGCGTCTCTGGGCTCGTTATGGTATGTTACAAATTTATACTTCTATTTAGCTGCACTTACAGTCATCTGATATTGACTTATACCTATTCCATGTATAAGAACTTAATTGACCCTTCTATTTAGGCCATAGCTTCAAATATCTCAAAAGATAGTATTTAATGATTTGAATTTATAATCTCATTAGAATAAGATTTATAAGTTTAATAACAGAAGTTTTTTAATAACATATAGGATATAATGTAAATGTAATTTAAAGCTTCTTCATCATTTTCTTCATCTTGCCATCCTAAGACTAATCTGATGTCACACTCAAGTCTAGCGGTTCAGGTTACTATTTATTATTGAATAACAAAAATATGAATTAAGTGAAATAGAAAACCATAAGAAACCAAGCATACAAAAACTCCCTGTTAAGCAAAAGATATTGAACCAATATTCTCTCATCTCAAAATCAAGATATGGGCTTAAAGAATTTATTCTCATAAGAACTTACAGTTAGTTCACTCACAATGAGATACATAGTTATTAACTTATGACTAATACAATATTCAAATCAAGATATATTTAGCATTTTTATAACTTTTTTATGAATATGTTGACAAATGTTGACAAAATCCAACTTCCAGAATCTTGAACAAGCAAATTATTTTCACCAAGAAGGTTAATTAGATTTTTACTTAACAGAGAATCACTTCAGACTTATCTCAATACTGCAGTCTCATCTCCAATTACCACCTAAAACTTACTGTACTTACTACGAATTACCTTTTTTTCTATTACCTGACTGAGGAAGATTGCATAAAGTCGGAGACCATAAAAGAAACCAGTCAGAGTTACACATAGAGAATCATCATTAACAACAGGTGCTAATAGACATAGGCCTCTCCTTAGAAAGGAGGTTATGGCCTACTATACCTCGCTGGCCAGACAGGTTGGCATAGAGTTTGTGTCAAGTTTTCCTTTTCTTTGCAAAGCTGGTGTCGAATATTGATTGATAATGAAATTTGCAAACATTCATGAAACGGTTGTGACTCCTGAGTTGCAGACGGTCATGGGCAGCGATGGTCACTTTCCATCAGGTGATCCATCTGCTCGCCTGCCCCCTCTAACATAAAAAAAAAGTTGCACGTCTCCTTGTTTGCCCCCTATGCCATAACAAAAATGGGGTGGAACCAAAGCGGCAGCTGAAACTGATTTAGATCAAACAGAACTGTGTTGTTTTATTCAACTTGTCAGTGAGCAAGCAAGTCTTTCGTACAAGCAATGTGTATGACACGCATTAATTTTATTAGTTTATATAAATCATTTTTGTTTTCAGAGAAAGGTGTTGAAACTTCTTCTAGTTTAACAAATATGACCGATTCCCAAATCTTATCAATAATAAAGGGATTGTCAGGAAAAAAGTGTTAGTTATTATATATGGTGTAAAATTATGCCAATGTTTTGTAGAAAGTCAAGATCCATTCATTTAGTTTTCAACTCTTGGTAACTGAGAATTGTGGAGCTTAAGACATTTGTTTATTTAAGTAGGTAATGTTGAATATACTAAAACCATTCTGCATAATGCAGAGAGAAATAATCATTCAATTATTAGCACAAAAAGAATTTTCTTTCGTTCACGAGTATGTTGGTTTTTGTACCTCCAAAGCTCAGATTACAAAACAACTTTATTTTACTGAGTATTTAACTGAGTACATACTTTAGAACTCCGATCTATAGATTTCGTATTTTATTACTACATTTAACCGTAAAGCTAAACGGTAGTAGCAAAACTGCATAAAAAGTAGTTTCGTTATTTTGATATATTATTTTTTATTTTGTTTAAAACGGAATGCATCCAACTACTAACTGTAGCTCATTATGTATAATGTTTTTCATCTGCAGCATACCTATGTGGTAGTGGCTCATAGAGGCTATAGAAAGTGTAAAAAGAAACTGTGATGCACAATATGTTTACGTTACGTCGTTACGGTTACAGCTTGTTGCAAATAATGTTTGACAATGATTCTTCGAAATGGGAATCACAATGAACCGATACTCTGCTGATGTATTACGTAATCCCATTTCGTAAACACTTGAAAATAATTGTTTATAAATAATTTTATACCATGTACTACTGAGACACGTCTCGATATAGGACCACCAGAGAGTAGGATTTATTGAGTCCATCACAAAGAATTAATCACCATTTATTATTGCAGAGAAAGGTGTTGAAAAAAGTGCACCACTAACCGACCTCACCTCCAACAACGTCATGGCAGCTGTTAAACAACTAGCAAATTGAAATTATTTATAAATTGTTATTTATGTATAAATATTAGTCAATAGCAATAGTATCTTCATTTATACCCTGTTCTTTCTCACTTCTTTCTGGTCTTTCTCATGGCAATACATACAAGTGTGTTGCTGCATTTTGAGTGCTCACTTCCCCCTTCTTCCAGAACTAGAGGAGTAGAAGTAGACAGAGAGGGAGCTTTCCGGTAACCTCATTAATATAATGAAAAGCAAACTGGATTAGCTTAACTAGAGTTGTAAAAGACTCAAGTCTGGTCCTAATTTCAAGACTGAGTCCTATTTCTCAGAACTCAAGAATAAAAAGTCAGTCTTAAGACTAACATGCTATAATTGAGTCTGGACTCATGAAGTGTTCGCCCTAAGTCACGAGTTCTATTGCAGGAGACGAGTCAAATCTAAAAGATTCGCACACAAGTCTGAGAAGAAGTGAAGTCCTAAACTACTAGAAGTTGCAGTGTTGTGAAATCTTGAGTCCTAAGTCCTTGATATACAACATTAACTTGATTTCTTTTTAAATGGCTTCACATAAAACAGTTGTTAAGCTGCTTACCAGCTGTTTTAAGCGAGGGCAATCTCGTGCTGAATTTAAATAATTGTCTTACCGATGACAATTAATGAATAAATATGGTAAAAGTCGTGAAAGTAAGAAAAAAATAACTTTCTTATATGAATAATTTATTACTTAAAACACCTACGTCTACCAGACTTTGTAAACAATAACATATCTAAAATCAATATGGCGACAAAAATTATTGCACTATACTTGTGTATTCACTATCTTAATCACTCGTGATGATCTAGCACGATTTTCTAAATCTACGAGATGCATGCACTCTTCAACTGATATTTAAGGTACAAAGGTGCAGCGTTTCACCTTTTTTATTTAAAAATAAATGTTTTAAAAAAAAACTCTTATAACATAAGGTAATGGTTCGGTGCTATTTAAATGACTTACATTTTAATTAATATTTTAAATTCTGTTGTTTGCTTATTCTTAAGCTAGTAATTAGTCTTAGTAAATAATGATATATGTATATGCACAGTATATGTATATGAATTGTAATAATTTCCAACGGCTTCCATTTACCCTTTTGGTGCTTACTCAGGCTGTATGCTTGTTTGCCACAGCAAATAAAAAAATATGTATAGCATAATAGGTCTTGGGCGGTTCTCGATAATTGGACTACATACATTCTAAAAATAAGTTTTAATACCAAGTAAAAAGGATCTGTATTTAAAATATGGATATGTACCTATGTTATTTGCAAAATACTTTTGATAATAATCATTAGAAAACATGTAAATGAGTATTCCGAATTAACAATTCACAAGATAATATAAGACAATTTGGTATAATTATTTTTAACAATATGGGAATAAATTCTGTACAGTATGTTTCAATTGTACTGACATTTTTTTTAAGCTCAATAAGCTATAAGCCTCTGTACATTAACGCTAGTAATTTACAGGACATAACACAATTGGATCTAGCTCTATAAACAAGACATAATATTACAAATTCTAATTATTTAGTACATCGCCTTCATAAAAATATTTGTCGATATTTCAGATTGTACAACACTTTAAACTTAAAACCATTAACTACCGTCACTGAAAGGCGGGTAATCCGAAGAGTTCTGGTTGGAATTTGGATAGAGTTGGTAGCACTATGGTCGCGTGGGTAGTCAGTCTTTTATTGAGATGCGGGTCAGGCACCATGACGGTTTGCATACCGGCTTTCACGCCTGCCGTTACGCCGTGTGGAGAGTCCTCGAATACTAAACACTGGAAGTAGAGATAACGACATTTTAGGCATAGCGTCAAAAGAAATGTGACCTACCGATACACACATATATAAAGCAATGATAAAGCCATTTAGTTTTTCTTTTTTTTTAAAAAGACAACTCCCGCATTACGAACATATCCTGTGTCGCGGGGGACTTTACAAACATACATGAAACGGACACAAAGAACACCCAGACTCAGAACAACAATTTGTGGATCACACAAACTGTCGTCCCATGTGGGGTTTGAACCCATAACATTCGGCGCAGTAGGAAGCGGCGTGGCGACCGCTTAAACCACCATTCGTTATCATGTTCATCATGACAAAATCTGGCAAACTGGATTGAAATATTGCCGGGACTACGTCAGTAAAAACAGTAATAAAAATTAGTTCAAGATTCATTTTCGATCTATTCTTGATCTCACAAATGTCTTAAAAGCTATTCTCCTTGTAAAGTAATAAAGTATTACTACGAGTAAGACTAGCAGAATACCAACTTTTGGTCACAATGCGATATAAACGCATTACAGTCAACGTTGGGTGTTTACTACGAGAATACCTTTTTTTACATTTGTGATGTCGAGAGTAGATCGGAACTGTACGGTTGGAACCTTCAAGTAGACCTAAAGATCAATTCTTAACTCTCGTAAATGTATCTACTTAATAATACTGACTGCACGGATGGCGTAGTGGTTTAAGCGGTCGCCACGCCGTTTCCTACTACGCCGAGTGTTGTGGGTTCAAACCCCACATGGGACGACACTTTGTGTGATCCACAAATTGTTGTTCTGAGTCTGGGTGTCCTTTGTGTCCGTTTCGTGTATGTTTGTAAAGTCCCCCGCGACACAGGATTTATTCCTAATGCGGGCGTGGTCTCTTTAAAGAATAAAAAAAAAAAATAAGATTAGACAAGTCTTTTTACCTTAGAAGGTTCTGGTTTGTCAGGGAATCGTGCAGCCGTCACCAAGAAGATATCCGGATGAGGTTTCCCATACTTAACGTCCTTATCTGTACTGCCCATTACCATATGATGAAAATGACTAAATAGATCTTTGTACGCTGCTATCTTCGTTTCAACTGATCGAGCGCTGGATGACGTTGCAAGAGCGAAGGGTACTTTCGTTTTATAAAGGTGGGTTATCAATCGTTCTGCTCCTGAAAAAAATGTTTATAACATTAGTATTGTATTAGAGGAATAAACTAGACCATTTGTTATATATATTAGACAAATTCATTAACCTAACGGAGCAGGTATACAAACTTGATTTTTTATAGATGAACAATACTATATATAAATTTTACGGTATGACGCGTCACATGATGTTAAGTGACTATCTCCACCCGCGAACATCTGCAACTTCGGAGACACTAGTGCGTTATTCTGGGGGACTGGGTAGTGAGGGAATTTCCTTTCGTAACCTCGCTCATTCGGTAAAAGGCATTGAGAGAATTGCTTAAAACCGGTTTGGATTAAAGAAGTGGAAAATTTCAGGAGGCTATTGATATTTTAAAGCTTGACGTCATTTAACCACGCGTAGCAACAGAATAAGCGTACATTTCGTATTTACGAGGCAAATTGCAATTAAGAAGTCGTTGATTAAGATTGTCAGGCAATGAAAAACTACAGATAAAATGATCAGTCTTAATGTGTACAATTGTGTATAATATTGTCGTGTTTCCACGTGTTGTGGATTCGATTCTTACCCAAGACAAAAAAATTGTGTGTAAGTGTACATGGTTCTGCCTAGTTCGGGATTATACAGCCGTTTATGTGTATGTTATTATTTTATTTTAGCCTAGCAGGTGTTTTTAATCCTAAAGAACTTTTTACTAATTTTTCAATGAAATTAAAAATTTATGAATGAAGTATCGTTATGGGCATCTTGATCGAGCTCAATTGGCGATCGTAGGATCAAAAACCGTCCCTCAGGTATGACAGATGCGTTTGGATGATGACATCAAGAGGACAGCAGGAATAAAATGACAGTGGCATAAATTGAAGGACCCTACACCCGAAGGATCGGGACAGGCTGAAGAGAGAGATATATGAAGGTTGACTGGCTACATGCCATGTGACGAGGCACTTTAAGGTATAAAGTTCGAGATTAAAACATAAATATTATTGAAAAATATTTATGTATTTCTTATATTCATTAATGTTTCTTTACATATCTTCTCTCCATTATTAATACTATATTTGTACTGCATTTTGTTTTTTATATTTCAACAATAAGACATACAGACATCATACGGGCCTGTTGGTCTAGAGGTTAGTGACCTTGACTGTTCAGCCTGAGGTCGTGGGTTCAATTCTCACCCAGGACAAATATTGTGTGATGTTCACGATCATTTGTTCTGTGTCTGGGTATAATTTATCTATACAAATAAATAAAATTGGAGTGTCTGTTTGTAATATTAAAATAACCGCTTTTTGCTAAATGCATATGTATGTTTACACGGTAGATATGCCAAAATAACATTTTTTACAATTTTTGTCTGTCTGTCTGTTTGTTCCGGGTAATCTCTGGAACGGCTGGACCGACTTCGACGGGACTTTCACTGGCAGAGAGCTGATGACATAAGAAGTAACTTATGCTACTTTTTTTAGACTAGCTTCGCCCCGCGGCGTTGCCCGCGGTTATAACAACAAACGCGGGTAACACCGCGTGTCTCAGCTAGTCTTTAATATGTATGTATGTATATGTTAAAAATATATAAGTATGTTTATAACCAGTCTGGTTACCATAGCACAGGCTCTGCCTATTTTTTGATCAGATTGCCATGTGTGAGATTGTTAGTTTACAAATTACTTTTTGCGTGTATATTATACACGCAAAAAGTAATTTGTGTTTCAATTAACCCATCACATTCTATTTGCCCAGCTCTGGTTATCAACGTCACTGCCCTTGTAAGGCTTCGGCCTGTGCTACTTCGTATCTCATACAACGTGATGTAATCATTCTTAATTTAAGTGATCGCTTCTTTTATAGACTCATCTCGATTTTGATAAAGATTGATAGTTATTCTTTATTGGAATGCAAGAGCGTTTACGGAATGGAATGGAGAAAATTCTAGAGTAATAGAATGGAAAGTATAACATGTCGCAGTCCCCGACGAACAAAATCGTAATAGGAAAATAAAAATTTTACAGGAGCAAATAAAAACTGAATATCTTGAATACTATCAAGACTAAAAAGAAGATTCTTTTATCAAAAATAAGGAAATATTTTTTTGCACTAGATTTTTACTAAATTTTTATCATTAATTTTCTTTATCAGTAAGAAAATTGTGAAAATGTCCATTACTGAAATAAGCTATGGAAAAAATTAACGCAAACTAACTTTACGATAGTGTTCGACTGTAATCACAAATCGGTGTTGCTGTAGTAATCGTTCATTATGATATTGTTCCATGGTAAATATGAATATACTTTATATTCGTAAAATGAAATTGCATTGCAATTCGATGATATAACTGACTTTAATATTACGGTAAACATAAATTACATGCTTATTCGATGATTATTTTTAGGTGTTATAACCATTTCGGTACCTATGTATAAATTCTGATTCTGATTCTGTCATTTTTCCCTCGAACAATATGGTAATAGCCGCTTTCTCTAAAATGTTGACTTTTGAGATTTGGTAATAGGTTTTTGCGTTATTGATCGTGTAAATTTTTCACTTATGTTATACGTAGAACAAAAACATAAAGATCATTATTGAATGGATAAATCCAAAAGTATTCATCGCCCGATCATAAAAAAAAATTCAATGATTGTAATAGGGTGTGTAGATAATGAATATCTAATAAACCCGATTCTATCGTAATAGCGATTACCATAGTGTTCGTCGGGGACTGCGATGTCTTCTTTTCTATCAGCTTGATGGATCACTTGGATGGAGCGAGAAGATGGGTCACTTGACGTTTAATGACACCTACCACTCAGGAGTCACAAGTGACTCCCCTCCTTAAAACGAGGGCTTTGGGGGGGGGGGGGAGCGTCACGTAACCTAAAGCAATCAGTAAAAAACAACGAAAGAATTGCTAAAGATCAGTTTTCCGCGATGCCGTGGTATCACTCCGGTAGACCCTGGCCCATGACCAGCATTGCTCTTAACTTCTTACAAAAGCCCACGGCTTGAAGTTAAATGCGACAAATATTATTTTTTATTTACTTTTCCTATCTCGACCGCGATTTTAATAGATCGGCGCCAGTAAATCGGATTATACCATTGAACACATTACCAAAACACATAAAATAAAAATTTGGCACGTGCATGGTCTGCTAAATGTAGGAACAATACACAAGGTTGCATAACTATTTACATATGCAGATAAAGTTATGTAATCTGTATTATGTAAGTATTATATTATGCACGTACATTTTCAGGGTTGCCAGTAAATATATTGGGACTCCTTGTGCCACACCCAGTATGTAATGAAATTTCAAAAATGTTTTATGCTCCTAAGTAATACACTTGTCGTCATCATCATCATTAATAGCCTTTAGCAGTCCACTGCTGGACATAGGGCTCTCCTTAGAAAGGAGGTTTTGGTCTACTATATCACGCTGGCCAGACGGGTTGGTGGTGGTGTTGAAAGTTTTTCTTTTCTTTTCAGTGCTGTTGTCCTGTGTAGTTTGTTCCCTTAGTCGGGTCTTACGACACCCACGGGATTAATCGGGGTGCACGGGATTATTAATAAATATACTGCAAGACAAACGCAATTTGTATGTTTTACTGTCATATAAAATTTTGGACTTTCTGGTCGTGGCTATATCGGAACGTGAGGAACACAATGATCATTGATTATATGCTAAGGTCAGGGCAATTTTTCAATATACATGGATACTGGTTAAGTCTACCTAGATACTTTAGGGAGTTGTAGTGGCTGTAATTGCTTACAGATTTCACTATGAAATACCATATCCCAAACCTAACCATTTTCAAGATATTGGACTTTTAAGATTTTTTATAAATTGGCGAAATTAATTCTTTTCTTTTTCCTGTTTTTGTGTCGTTGATACATTGTTTGATAATTTTCATTACCAAAATTGTGGTTTAAAAAGTGGGCCGAAGCAGATGGTTGATATTAACAAAATAAAACATACTGTATAAAAAAAACTATGACAGTTAAGTTGCAGATGTGTTAAAAAACATGTACGTTTAGTCAGTTATTTAACAAGGTATAATTATCTAGGATAGTAACAGAATTCATAGAACAATACTTAGATGTAAGTCCGGGAGTATTAAGAATTAGCGTACAACCCGGTAGTACATAGCTAAGTTAATTGGCTTGTATGTTTGGACTGTTCTATTCGTGACTAACTATTGCTAACTGGACTTTGATTTGTGCTTATGATACCGTTGAACCGTTGACCTATACGGAACAAGGAATATGTTGATGTATTGTTTTCTTACGAATACTGCCAATGCGTATCTGCACGTATCTGTAATCCTGTACATGTAAATATATTAAGAATCGTAGATGATACAGATGTTTTTACAGACAAAAAACATGATTAAAGAAGTTGAAGAGAATTTATATGTTCACATGGTGACAATTAATAAAAAGGGTCGAGCAAACACCCGGTGTCTTGTGCACTCGCACAACAAATAGAAAAATATGTTTACTTGAATTTCGGGCATTACGTCACGCATTATTAGACTCATGTCATGCTACCCACGCTCTCTTGTGTGGAAGTTATTTACATTAGGGGATTGCCCGTGTTTTATTTCTCATGTCATTCTGACAGGCTTTTAATGTCAACTGTCACAGTCGTCGGCTTATGCTTTTATGTTCGAGCAGCAATGTGTTCCGAACAACACATACCTACTGCTGCTCGAACTCGATGCCGTAAATCGGTGCAAACTGAGGCCGCAGCGTTCAATTTTTTTTAGGGGGCATGATGTATTCAACAAATTAAAAAATAAAAAACAGATTTTTATAAAGCAATAATTTTCTCACCGTCCGTGTGGTGACGGACAGAGTGTGAGTGAGAGAAAACTATGCAGAACAACAGCACTGCAGAGAAAAGGAAAACTTGACACAAACCAACCTGTCTGGCCAGAGTGGTGAGGCTTATGTCCAGCAGTGGACTATTAAAGGTTGATATAATGTAAATTTTCTCACTAATTTCATGACCAGATCATGAAAATTACATAATTACTCATTTATTCATTACCAATTGATTATTGCTAATTCATTACTTAAAATGATTAAGAAATTAACACATTGCATTGTAAACTTTTCCAGTCATACATAAACTGACAATCTAAAGTAATGATTATTAAAACTTACGATAATTGATTTATTCATGGGGGTCACAATGTCAGACATTGAAAGTCCGATTGAACATTTGAATGTAATATATGCTAAGGCATATTTTAGCTAGAATTCACTAAATAAAATCATGCTATGTGTATTTATAAATAGTATAGTGTATTATAGTATACTAATTACGTGTGTTGTGTTGTGTACTTAGTGTATATTTTTGTGATTAGTGTTATAACCTATGTGCGCCTACCACTCTCGATTTCTACACCACCTAAAGGTTGACTGGAAGAGAATGCCTTGGGCATTAAGTCCGCCGATGTACAAGAGTGCATAAACTTATAAATAAATAAATATAGTGTAAATTGTTTTAAGCGACTTCAAAAAGAGGAGGTGGTTCTTAATTCGTCATAATCTATACAAATAAATAAAATTGAAGTGTCTATTTGTAATGTTAAAATAATAGGTTTATTTCATGCTCACACGGTTATTTGCATGATGCCTATGACTAAAAACCAGTTAATTTTTTGGTCTGTCTGTCTGTTTGTTCCGGGTAAACTTATAAACGGCTGGGCCGGTTTTTGTAATATTTTAATACCAGGTAGCTGCCTATATAAAGCGTAACTTAGGCTTATTATTACTCTCAGAAAAGCCCTTTAAAATTTTGCCTGGTCCGGGAATCTAAGGCAGCACTTTTCAAATTTCACGCGTCGCAGGTACCAGCTAGTCCTACATAATAGGAATGCAAAAAACGAGAAGGAATAGTAAAGAAAAGTAAATAAGCAATATATAGATAAGATTAAGATAAATATTTTATCAGAGAAGTGTAGTAAGCTACTTAAAGTATCTCGTTTATAACTTTATCTTTGTATATATTTTATGTTTAACAACATAGCGACACACCCAACTTGAAGTCTAGAGACTGAACATGCTTATTGTATAGGACTTATTTAAAACAAAATTTTAAAGGGTTTTTCTGAGAGGAAGAAAAGTCCTAAGTTACTCCTTATATAGACTAGACTAGCTACATGGTAGTAAAATAATATCAAAACCAGTCCGGCTGTTTAGAAGATCACCCAGAACAAACAGACGGACAGATAAAAAAAAAAAAATTACAAACACACACTTTAATTTCATATTTTGTATAGATATAGATGGCTTATGTCCAGCAGTGGACTGTTTAAGGCTGTTGATGTGATGATAGATATAGATGAGACTGCAGAAGAGCAGTTTTCTAATACTGCATAAATATATTTTATATTATATACATTAATAGAGATATTAGTGAATTTTTATCACACTGCTATAAAACATCATGCAAAGAAAACATAAACAAGTTGAACTGCAAAAATGTGTCATATTTATTATTGCTTCCTCTCATAAAATTTTAATTAAAAAATATATAATTAATAATATTTTTTAATTAAAATTTTGCAACACAGCTTTTTAATCTCAGTGGCAATTTATAATAATAATATACATATGTGTTCCAAAAAGAATTCAATTCTATATTTAAAATAATGTAAACATACAGAAAATTTTATAAATATAAATTCTTTTATAGTGTTAGGTAGTATTATAAGTGGCGCCCTGAACTGCAAGATACAAGACTACGTACAGCTGTTATATTTAGATTTTGATATCTAAAATATATAAATCTTTATGTAAGGATATTTTTTTATATAACAATTTTTTTATGATGGATAATGTATTAAAAACATTTAGTATGTAAATCATTTCCTAAATATTGGACGAATAAGATCATTAGAATGAATTGAAGATCTTTTATTCTCGTAAAACGTAAAAAGTATCTACAAACCGTCCATCAGGGGTGTGTTGGCCAGCATTGTATCTCCAAGCTCTAATAACTGGTCACGGAACTCCATAGGTGTTATAGGAAGGTTTAGTTCTTTACACAAGATTTCTGACAATCGCTGCTCAGTACCACCGAGGACTTTCATCATCAGCTCATCTGTGTATTTATGTCCATATTTTGCACATAATTGTGTTATCATTTTTTTGTAAACTTGTTCTGTATCTATAAATAATGGAAAAAAATAGAAATCATTAACTTGAGTTTAATAAATGTAACTATAAAAAATTGCTTGATAATAAATATGTGTAGTGTGCAACAAAATTAATTATAGAAAACTAAGAATTTTTGGAAATTTCTATGCAAAAATTAGACAAGATATTCACAATAAAATACTTTTTTCTATTCAAAAATTTAAGAAATGTTTTTTAAGGGGCTCTCTTCACTATACATCACTATGTCGAAGTAATTGATGTACATTACATTTTTACCCATAGAGTTCATTAAATAACCTTAGCAACTAATATTTATTATGACTGATAGACTGTATGATACAATTGCATAGAAGGTCAAAACACGAATTCAAACATAACTCACCTAATAAAAGTCCATCCATGTCGAAAATACAGTGTGTTACTTTCTTGTACACCGGTGTCGAATAATACCTTACGCCTATCGCCCGCGACACACTTTTTAACAAATAAATCCTCATGATTACCCACCGGTTATATAAAACGACCAGTTATTAAAACAATTTAGTCACTGCAATTATCAATTAAATTCAGTTACTAACCTATTTCTATTTTTTTTTAAGTTCCGGAATTTATTAAAAAATGTTACATAGAGTTCTTAATTTCTTAACGTATTGTCAATGATTGAAGATAGAATTGAATAACATTCTGACTTTTGACTATATTTTGTTAAACTTTGAGTGAAGCAGTGTTGCCACCGCTTGAATGTAATTTTCCCCTAATAATTACATCAGAATCTTCTTCATCTCAAACATAACGTGAATTTAATTTTGTCAATCCCCTCAAATGTCCAGCAGTAGAATGTTAAAGGCTGTCGATGTGATGTGATGAATCCCCTCAAAATTCACAGTCTTAACTTCCAATAATTTTCGCCTTAAGGGAAAAACTTACTTTTTTTTAGAATTGCTTTTTAGAATAGCCTTCATGACTGTCAAAATTTAAATGTCACAAACGTGAGTTCAAGTGCAGGCATTTTATTTTTAATGGCTAATCTGTTCTATGATATTTCTTAAAAAAACGGCATGAGGGGTATATGGACCCATTGTAGGACCGAAGTTCCTTTCGCTGTTTGGTAGACGTTTGCTATATATAAGTAATGTGAAGACTAAGGCAGCAAACTCTGCAGGACAACAGCACTGCAAAGAGAAAGAAATCTTGAAACAAATCCTATACCAAGACGTCTGGCTAGCGTGGTATAGTAGGTCAAAATCTCCTTTTTAATTAAAGGCCTATGTCCTGTTAAACAGGAGGACAAAAAAAGCCTCTCTGTAGTCTTGTGCTTAATCGGACATCTGCAGGCTCGCACCGTACTAGTACAATTCGTACAACGTACTAGCACACCGTAATAGTACTATTAGTACAGTTTTAGTAGAAGTAGAAAACTTAAGCGTTTGTATTGATATTACCAACATCAATGAAACGGAATACTAATAATTAAATAAATTAAAATACGTAATTAAATATTCGTATTTTTTTTAAATATAGATGGCTTTGTATGAGGCAGTTACTTTTCTTCAGTATAGAAATAATTACACAGTTCTTGATTATTTTTAATGTGTTATCCCTTTCTGAATCCCATAAAACCTAACAGTTTGACTTTTAAATACGATTTTTTAGATTACTTTACACTAAATTTTTAAGCATACTATTTGATTTTCCTTCATACTTTACAACCCAACGTATTGTAGTACATCCTGTATCGCTGTCTCTTTTACTCTCACACTGTTTACCAATACGGAACAATAAAGCGGAGCATTAATAGTACGTCGCACAGCGAACGAACGTAGACACTAGTAGACAGAGTAAACAATAGGTAGTTTTAGTACTGGCTTGAAGTTGACACTGTGTACTAATAGTGCAAAATGTCCGATTAACAGCTGCCTTTCGGAAACATTACTTTTAGTACAATACCCAGTACTAGTACCTATCAGTACATCGTACGTGTACTACCCAAGACTACCTCTCTGATGATAACTATTTCACTTGCATATTCAAATGCTAATACTTTAGAAAAAAGCTGCAGTTTTCTACATGCTAAAAGGTTTTTTATGCGTCATCATCATCATTTAAGAAAATGCTAAAGTAAGCTTTAAAAATGCTAAGTTGGCAACCCTGATGAATGGCTTTTAAGTTTTGAATAGTAAACAAACACTTTACATATTACACAATATAATTTTACTACTAACTGTTTGAGACTGAATTGGTTTATGAAATTATAAGTAGATATAGTGTCCTTAGTTTTACAACTAAATCACCAATTTTTATTTTATTACCTGCGCCGGACGGACGATCGTTGGAAAGATTCTCGTAAATCAAATAGTTTATGTTTTTTTAAGAATTGCTACTTACTTGTGCTGATCCTGACCTGATTATATATTTGAAGGCTGCAACCTACAAATCAGTACAAGTATTTACTTGTACTGATTTGTAGGTTGCAGCAGGTAAATAATAAAAATGGATGGTAGCATCAATATTTATCTCGAACCACGACACGATAATGTCAAGCGGTCCCGGCAATTAATTGAGAATTGAATTGATTACCATGAGACATGATTTGATTAAAAATCCAATCTCAAAATTGAGTCGTCTTCAAGGGGTTTTTAATTAGACAAGGGCAATGATCGTATTTAATATTAAGTTGCCAACTTTAAATATTTGTCACATGGTTTTACAGTGTTGTCACTTGCACTTTCTTTATCATAAGATTTATAAATGAAAACTTTATCATCTTATTTAGTTGTATGGAATTAGATTTGAAATAATTAATTGCACAATTGGTAATATTTTTTTTATCAAAATCAAATTAATAACATTTCATCATCGCCTGACGGTCCCATTACTTGTTGTCAGCCCGCTTCCAGCTAACTTCAGTCAGTTTGTCGATGCACTGTGCAGTCGAGCTGCGACCATCATGGATCGTAGCTGATTCGTCGTGTCTCGTGTGTGTGGAGTGCACAGTACCGCATTTAAGTTTTAATTATTTACATATTATATTCGTACTTTTATTTGTGAACCATTTATTAAAGTGCATTTTGTTTTTTATCCATACATACACTTGTCGCAAATATGGCTGTGAAAGAGTGTTGTTGTGATAAACTGTCGCCTAACAAAAAATCGATTTTCGGATTGAGAAAGAGAAACCAAATATTGTATTTACTGTTGGCATCTTGTTTGTTAGGCGTCGCATCCGCTGCTGATGCTGAAGGAACTTGTGCAAATGTAAAAACCGTCTTTGAGAAGAATGGAATGTCCACGGCGGTAGATATACAAGCACTACCAAATTCAGGTAAGACTCACGCGCTATTTCACACATGAATGTGATAATGAAAAACGATTACGATACATTCTTTTATTAGTTGTGGTAAACGGTTTAAATACATTATCGGATAATATTGATTTTAGTTGGGAAATCACTAATAATTATTTAATTTTGGAGCTATGTTTGCAGTTGACTTTTTTTTACATACTGCAACTTATTTTAGTCATCATATTCTTTAATCAATAAAGAATTAATAGCTTCTTATAGTACATAATCATCACTTACTAAGTAGTTTAGATACTACTTTTAATTTGCACCTAAACAACCAAAAACTATTGACCCTTAGAAATTATTCCGTCGGGACCAACAATGACCCGAATAATATCACGAAATTACGTATTGGTACACTTACTATTATACCAGTGTACATAAGGGACACCCGGAGTATTGGGCTGGTTTATATTGTGTACTAACTAATGTGTACCAGTTCGGCAGAACATAAGATAGAAGAAGCAACGCGAAACGTTTCGTCTAAATGTCGACCGGGTCAGCATAACAACCTTTACAAAAGAATACTGTAAACGCCGTCTTGAGTTTTTCTAAATCACGTTATCTTTAAGTAAAAATTTCAATTGAGGCATTAGAAACAAAGGAAATTATTGTTGGGCCTCTTATTCAGAAACCCATGATACTTCGTGTTATTTTACCTGAGGAGGAACATGTTCAGACGGGTAACTACCTTTTTAAAGAGCAGGTAATATCTTAACTTTGGATGTCGTGGTTTTTATTGTTTTAATAAACCAAACCGATAAAAATTTATTATGTTAAATAGCAAAACATTTCATTAACCTTGTGGACTGCAACACTATGTCAATGGTTCTTGGGTATTTAAATTATATGGTATATTCTTCTTACAGTATCAACAAGTTTAGTTTCCTTATCTGTGGAACCACACTCTATTTCTTTTTTCAAAAATCGTATTTAAGCTTATTTCCGCGTGTTCAGAGCAAGTTTAAAAACTACATTTATTGGTCCTGAATCGAATATTTACTTTAATTATTAAAAAAAAATTAGTACTGAACAAGCAAGTAGGTAGATAGTACTTGTAACTTGTTCTCACTGAGGTGTACATTAGCCATTATAATGTATAACAGCGAGCACTCATTTAAGCTGTTACACGATTTTGAATGAGCCAGACCAGAAGCCGAATGTCGCTTTAATACAAATGTTTTTTTCTTTAAAGTCTACATACAAATTTTTATAAATACCAAATATATTTTCTAGGTCGTATCCGAATAACAATACATACATTAAGGAATACAGAAAAATTACCAAATCCATCATTCGTTTTGTACAGAAAATACATAGGTACAGAAATATGTGCGTATTTGTTATACTAACGTGGAAACGTGAATATTATTTTGTGATCTGAGATTTTAAAAACCACTGAGTATTTCGCAAAAATCACAAATAATATCGTAATAAATACACGGTTAGTTGTGTGTAATTTCGTTATTACAATGGCCGCCCGCAGAAGTATTACAATTCTTACATTTGTTCTTGCGGTCAGCTCATCAACGTACAGTAAATGAATGTGTAAAGTAAAATAAACATCCACGACACCGTTGTAGGCAGTAGGTGTTGTTGATTCAGAGACGGACGGCGCGCGGCGCGTTGTGAAAAGGTTAAATTGCAACACATAAAATAGATGTATTTCTGCGAAGCCAACGCACGGGAGTTAGACATGACAATAATTAACCCAAAACTAACACTAAATAAAGTCCAAATTCCCATAAACTATGCAGTCATGGCAGAAAACATTTAAGTTAAAAGCATACGTAGTTGTAAGTAGGCAGGTAATAGCGGATAGAGGCGTGGGCGATGCTGCGGAAGGTTCAAACACGATTCAACATGACATTCACCAACTTCTTCGAATTTATGATATCTTTAAAACCGACTTACAATGCATTCAACCACTAACGATAATTGACATAATGGAAAGTGAACATTTATGTCTAACAATCAAGAAGAAATTCACTCTTAATAATGAAGTGATTTATTATAATAATCGCCAAAGAATAAAATAAGGCAGTTTGTATTTCCTGA